CGAAGGCGCTTTACAGAGATGTTCTGGCACCACTGTGTCTGTGGTGAGGGAGAATGAAGTCAGGGAGCCCTGAGCTAGTCTCCAGTACCTTTGAAAATTTGTATTTTGAGTCAAGGTCTTGCTAGGTTGCCTAGGCTGGCCTCAAACTTGTAATCCTCTTGCCTCTTCCTCCCAAGTAACTGGCATTACAAGCCTGAGCCACCAGGCCCAACACAGCACAGTATTTAGTAGCAAAACAAACCAATAACAAGGGGCTGAGGATTTAGCTCAGTGGCACTCCACCTGCCTGGCAAGCACGAGGTCCTGAGTTCGATCCCCAGTACCAGAAAAACCAACCAACCAACAAAAATCACCCTACGTGCCCATCAATAAGAGTGGGAACAGGGCTGGGGATTTAGCTCAGTGGTTCACAGCCTGCCTCGCAAGCACAAGGACCTGAGTTCAATCCCCAGTACCAAAAAAAAAAGAGTGGGAACACACTCATACACACGTACACGATGCCACGTTGAAACCTTAATACTCAATATCGTGATAATCTAGAGCTGCATAGGTAAATCTGAAATAAATTTTGAACTAAAAAAAAAGTATAGTTCATATGCCAGACGGGTCAGTATTTAGAAATAGGCATATAAATAGTGTATATTGTTTATGAACACAAAATAAGTGTAAGGAAATGCATGGTATTGATAAGCACCAGACTCAAGAGAATGATTAACTCCTGGGAGGCAGAGGAAATGGGAGGCTTAAAAGCTATTCATATATATTTCTTCAAACAGATTTGACAGTGGCACATGACTGAAATCCTACCACTTGGGAGGCTGAGGCAGGAGGATGCAAGTTCAAGACCATCCTGGGAAATTTAGCAAGAACCTGTCACAAAATAAAAATGAGATAAATTAAAACAAAAAGGTGTTGGGGCTGTAGCCCAGTGGGTGAGTGATCCTGAGTTCAATCTGGAGTACTGGAGGAAAGAGAAAGGCATAGGTACAACTAAGTCTAACGCTTGGACAAGGCTGGACAATAGGCATTTAGGTATATATTGTTTCCTATGCTCCCCTAAATGCTTTAAATGATTTATTAGGCATAAAGTTGTATGTATTCATCCTAAAAATCTTCAGATATTGCAAAGACACAGAAGGGATTGGGTAGCCCAGCAGTAGAGTGCTAGTCTAGCATGAGCAAGGCCCTAAATTCAATCCACAGAACTACAAAAAAAACAGAGAGAGAGACATAAAATTAAAATCTTCATATTGCACAATAAAAGATATTGTGATAATTTTTGGCATTTTACTGAATATTCAGAATTTTTCCTAAGCAAGTGTTTCTTTACGAGCAAAACAAGCCAGATGCGGTGATACATGCCAACACTCAGGAGGCTGAGGCAGGACGATCACTGAGAGTTTGAGGCCATACTGGACTACATAGTGAGTTCAAGGCCTGCAAGACACTCTCAAAAAATAAAATAAGAGGCTGGGGATTTAGCTCAGAGGTGCCATGCTTGCCTTGCAAATACAAGGTCCCAATTTCGATCCACAGTACCAAACAAAACAAAACACCACATAGGGCTGGGCATTTGGCTCAGTGGTTTCGTCACCTGCCTTGAAAGTACAAGGGCCAAGTTCAGTCCCCAGTACCACAAAAAAAAAGACCACAGGAAAAACGAGAGGGAAGGAAAGTAAAAAGCATTAAGATGTGATAAGTACATGTACTGACTGCCCAAAATAAATATAATCATTGTGTATCGGGAAATGTATTAATTTAAATCTTTAAATATATAAAAATTTTAAATTAAAAGTAAAATGAACATTAGAAAATTAAATAATCCAAAAAAGAACAAAATAAAAAGCTGACCATGGTGGTGTATACCTGTAGTGCCAGCACTGGGAAGGCTGAGGCAGGAAGATACCAAGTTTGAGAGCAGCCTGGGCTACCTAGTAAGTTCAAGGCTGGCCTGAACTACAGAGTAAGGCCCTGTCTCACCAAAACACAAGAAAGAACAAAACAAAAATACCACCTCTACTTAACATATCACAGATACCTTTTCACATCTACATCAAGCCACACAAATTTTCATGACTATATACCATTCCTTGAAATGGCTGAATGACAGTGTAACATCCCTGTTGGACATTTGGGTTGTCTCTATTTTTTTTTTCAATCATAAATAATGCTTCAGCAAACATGACTGCATGTAAATTTTTGTCTCTCTTCCTGATTATTTCATTTGGGGAAAATCCTAGAATTGGGAGTTTGGGTCAGATAATATGCGTTTTTTTGTTTTTTTAAGAGCCTGATTTGCTTTGTTTGCTTTTTAAATAACAGCTTTGTCGAGATGTAGTTCACACATAAAAGCCATCATTTTAAAGTGCATAGTGCAGTGGGTTGTATATTCGCAGAATATTCCAGCTGCTTCCTGTCCCTATGGCTTTGACTCTGCCAGATGTTTCACAGGATGGAACCACACAATATGTGATCTGGCATCTTTCATTAGCAAAATACAGTAGACCCTTGAGTTAGGACCAGCCTGACCCACGACTTGGGTTACGACTGGAATTTTAGTTTTAACTTACAAACAAAGTCCTGAGTTACAATCCAGATGCCAGCTGCTTGTGCTTCCAGATGGTCTAAGATGCAGACTTAACCCTTACAGGGTTCTGGAAGGAACATGACAGCCTCCTTCCTGGGCGGGGTTCGTTGAGAAATCCTGGGCCGGTGTCTCTCTGAGATCTGCCCGGGTACAGGAGAGACTCTGAAGGCTGTGTCAAGGAGCCTGAGCCTTCAACTGACCAACAACCGGCCCCCGAGGATGAATGGAGTGTGTAAGTCAAGGGTCTGCTGTGTTTTCAAGTCCACCTTGCAGCCTGTATCAGCCCTTCACCCCTTTTCTGTTGGAGTAATGTTGCATTCTGTGGGGGGCCCACACTTTCTTTATTCTCCAATCAGTGGGCATGTGAAGATGTCCACTCTGGGTCTGTTATAAATAAGGCTGCCATTGTCTTTTATGTGTGTATGTTTTCAATCTCCCCCCTCTCTGCTTTGTTTTTTCTTTTTTTTTTTTTTT